GAAGAAGCTTGATGGTACGCGATACCAGTTTATCCAAAAATCAAAAAAAAAAAAAAAAAAGAGGCTACTTTAAATCTATATTTTATTTCTACATACAAGATCCAAACCTATATACCGAGAAAGAGAGAGAGAGAGGGTGTCCGCTGAATTTTCCGGGGCAACAAACGATACTTGGTTAGATTCGATGAGTTGACGGACACTAGTTTATTGTCACACGTACATGTATCGCGTACACATGGACGTACGTACGTTCTAACCGGAAACCATTCGTCCTGGCAGTGCCATGGAGTGTGTAAACACTCGCGGACCCGATTTCTCTCTCTCTCTCTCTCTATCTCGATACGAGGTTACGAGGGTGCACGGAAGGGTGGCGGCGGCGACGGCGACGGCGGAGACGGGAAGGGGTTTGATTTTCGTTCGGGGATGTGGTAACGTACAGAACCGTGTGGGTACAGAAATCGTGTGGGTTTCTATCCCCGCGGGCTATATCCCCGGAATCAGCTGCCAGATTATTCTATTACCGCGTATCAACATGGGGTTTGTTTGATCTGAAAACACGGGCCCGCCACATTGTTTCACCCAGATAAAGAATTTAACGTCGGGTAATTAAAAGGACTTCCCTTCCCTTCCTCCTTATTCTCTTCACCGTTCCACCCTGGACCCCCATTCCGGAGACGCGACGAACGGAAACGGAGACGAAGACGCGAATGAAAAGCGCGTTTAACGATTCTTATTCCGACTTCCGGGACTCGTCTCCGGTGGTTTGTCGCGCGCAAATCTCTCCTGGGAACGTTTCCACACCGCGAACTTTGACTGTGCATATCACGCGAATATTTGCGTAATTAACTCCACCAGTACTAACGAGTCTCTGCTTATGTGCAAACATCCACATTGATGGAATCTCTCGATTGTCTTTTAGGCAAAATCGCGTCTATAAAGACAAGATATTAAAAATGCTCGAGATTTCGACATTTTAAAAAATTTGTATTTATAACGCAAAGGTGAGAGAAGGGAGGATAATAAATTATGATTGGTATCCAACTGGATGTCAAAATATATTTGAACGAAAGACATAAAATCCAATTAGTATCCAATCCGTCCATCATATATCTTAAGAATTTACTTATTAAGAAGAGTGAGTAATGTCTCGTTCTTTCTCTCTTTCTCGCGTATTAAATATATTTTGTATTACACGTGCAGGCAAAGTGGCACTTTGTGTTTTCTGTGCGGAAAGCGGCTGATTTCTCATGCCGCCATCTAGCGGCGACGCGGTGAGTGAATAAGCCGTGTTCAAAGCCATTGCCCACGGCTTCAGTCTTTGGCTCGTGCGTCCATCCCCCGCACTCGTGACCAATTGTCAACTTTCCGCACTTGATACACAATAAACTATTTTTCAACAATAATTTTTCTAGGAGAGACTGCAAATTAGGTCTTTTCGCGATCTGAAATGATAATACTGTATTTTTATGACGTTTGAGATACGGCGGTCGCACAGTGTGCGGATTCGCGAGCAGATTTGTTGAACCCGGACGGGTTAAGAAAGCGAGCATTGGATTAATGCCGCGACGAAGCGTCAACGTCTCGCTTTCACGCGGATGATTAAATTCTATATCGAAAATGAATCGTTGAATTATTGACTAGTTTAGTGTGCGTTTTGTGTAACCGGCATTCGCCCTTGTTTAAGCAACGCTTTATTATATATTTAACCGCAACAAATTCATACTCGCCTCCCTTTTCCGCCGGCGATATTACGATAATTTAATTATTGTAATATTATCGAACTCTATCGCGACTGCGCATTAGTAATGACGTACAAATAATTCCGCCACTCTCTACGTTACAATATATGCGCGCCCAGCGCGCCTGGCGTAGGGCAAAATAGCTTAATTCGTCCGCACCAATGCGGCCTTTGTTATTTCCTCGAATAATATTACGGCTCGTTTGTAAATTCAATACGTCGACTTTTTAACTCCTCGCCGACTGTATATCGAGTGCCATCGATCGCGCGGCTCGTTTCCCGGCGTAACAATCGTCGCCGCTATATATGGCCGCCAGACTCTGCCTCCCAACATTTTTCTCAAGCTTCCCAATTATACGCGAATCTCTTTCCTCGCACAAATAAATTTGAACGCAAACAATCGTCATCCAATTCTAATATACATAATGTTTAATTAAAGAAGGATCGGCCAAATTTTGATAACGTTTAATTCAAAAAGGAAGAATCGGTCGTAAGAAATAATTTTGTCATCTCTCGCGCGCGTTTGTTCATTTGTACAGGTGTCTGCGTCGAGGGACATTGAGAGGTGGAAATTGTCAGCGGCAAAATTACGGGCGACGGTCGATTCATCGACGTCGAAACAATAACAATCGGCGTATGCCCGACGATGCGGTAATTAAAATAAAATTAATTGGATTGCCCGCGCGCGCACACTCGCGGCCGAATCTTTCGAAGGAGATGACTGCACAGCCGTAGGGGTGTTTTGTGCGTTATTGCATATAATGCACTGTTTATTTTGCACTCTCTCGCTCTCGCTCCCCTCCTCCCTCTGTCCCGCGCGTTCCACCCTTTCCGCTCATTTTCCCCGTTCCTCCTTTCGAAACGAGTATATATTATACACAAACATATGTAGGCGCGTATATACGTGTATGCATGTCGTATGGATACGAGCGATCCGCTTCCTACCTCGGGACGATTCTCGTCTCCCGAAATTTGCTTCACTTGCAATCATTTCCATTAGAAACATTCGCGAACAAAATGTCGATACGAATGTCAAACCTTAAAGATATAAATCATCTTCAATTCATTTCTTAATATAGTAGATAATAAGATAATAAGTAAAAAAAAATATCTATATATAATAAGATAATAATAATAATAATAATGATATAGGGTACGTAAATAAATAAATAAAAAATTATATACTGAGATTACTTCTGCTTTAAGTATCGCGACAATAAGTTTGAGGAACTTCTCGCGCGTAATAATCGATCGCGATAATTTATTGATGCTTTCGATAGGTTTAGCCGCAAGCAATCAATTCGTCTTCTCGAGAGTTTACTGTCTCTCTGTGAACTTTTCATTAAATTTTTACCGGGAATTGCCCCGATCTTCGATTCTCCTCGAGAAAACTCCTGTCCGGATTCGAGGAACAGATTCTCCGATTCTACTTCGACTTTGCTCAACGTTGCGGGATTCCCACGAGATGATATTCTACTCTTTCTCAGAATCTCTTTTGAGTAAAAAGAAAAAAATTAACAAGACCCGCTGCGAATGAGACACATACGGGCTTTAATACACTTTGTCCTTTACATTTACATTGTCATTTCGTTAAAAACTTTACATCGCGCTTTCGCGACAAAACTGCCTCGTTTGAACCACCTCGGCAAAAAGCACAAACTTGCAAATAACGCGAACAAAAGCCGCGGATATTAATTTTCGGACGGAAAAGCTGTTCGCGTTCGCGGTGTGAAAACAATGCTTTTCTTCAGGTTTTACAAGTTGTTAGCCCCTTTTTCGACCAACGTGTAACAACATGTCGGTTAAATAAATCAGCTATTGTCGGATAAAACGTCTCGAGCTCCGTCTCTCGAACGTAATTTTTTTTTAAAAAAATGCAGAAAATGCATTACGCCGAAAAGTAAAATTAACGGTACACGGCTTAACTCAGGCTTGTCATGTGATAATATATATTTATTATAATATATTTCACTATTTTTAGATAATTTAATAAAAACTATTCTTAATATTTAATATTTACTCCGACGCTTTTTTAACCGTATATATTTATTATAATATATTTCACTAATTTTAGATAATTTAATAAAAACTATTCTTAAAATTTAATATTTACTCCGACGGTTTTTTAACCGTATTTATTTTTCATATTTTTTCAAATGTGCACAAAATCTAACACACAAAACTGTGAAAATAAAAAAAATCTGCGCTGACGCACATTGAATAAATCGGCTTGAGTTGGCAGCCATATTAATTACATTTTACGCTTGACAGCATATATACATATATAGTCGATATAGAAGTGTCCTGACTTGTATATATAATAATCGTGGTTACAACGTTACGTAAATGACGATTATTGTAACGCGATGAATTTGTTCGAGCTCGGCCCGATTCGAGCTCTGGCGATCTCGCGGAATCGACGCGCCGACTTTGCGGCATTCGAAATACGATTTATTTGTTCGTCATCCGCGCGTGCACGCGCGGGGCTCCCAAATCCAATAATGATTTGAATACCCGCGTACCCGATACGGTTTCGCGTTATTTCGGGTCGCATGCCGCGCGCGCCCGTAATTTTATAAACACTTTGAAAATCTTGCGTCACCGGCGGGCTTCGCCGCGCTCGAGATTGCCTCTGATCGCTCCTAGGGCTTCGTCTGCGCCGGCAGCAAAATAATTACAAAATCGTACGAACGAAACGGGATAAATCGAGGCTGCACCCGCTCCCCCGTCAGCTTCGAGCCTGTATTTTTTCAGCTTCAGGAAGCCGTCCGCGTTCTCGAGGAGAGGCCACAGCCTCTCTCTCTCTCCCTCTTTGGCAATCCTATACAAATTCGAGCCGATCATTTCCGAGTGTTCGCCTCCCTTTCCCTCACTCTGTGAATTCGCATCCGAAGCGTGGATCTGTACCGAACAAGGTATCATATCCCCGAACAGGGGATAGCTGTCCGGATTCTCAATCATGACGCTTAATAATATTATCATGAATTATATATATTATTCTCTTGCTTTTTTTTTATATATTGCAATATAAAATGCGCGTAGGTATTCTGCGAATTTTTTTATTTGAATGTACCTAGATGTTCAATTGGGCAATGACGTGTGTGTAAAAGTATTGACACATTCGCACGTCAGCTGCATCAAAATTGCGAAAACGTGATATGTTATATTGACACACAAAACTTTTCAGTTACACGCAATGTTAATATTAACTGCCGTACAAATTATGCCGTAAAGATCGCCGTTTTAATTCAGTTCGCGAAATATGGCGGAACCGGAGGTTCAAATTAAGGAAGAGATACATGAAAGCGAATTTCCGAGGGAGGTTACGACAGATACCGATGCAACGGAGGATGCAACAACGATCAAGACTGAAGTTACGAAACACGATTATGAGAGACCCGAACCAAGCTTGAATAAGGTCGGAGAAGAGAAGGAGAAGTCTTGGTTAGAGAGACGCGTGGAAAAGGGATGGCCCTACAAAGACGAAGAACCCTTTTGGCAATTTATAAAATCGTAAGGGACATCAGGATATTCGTGAATTTTTTTTCGATTGCAAATTTCTTACCTTTCACGCCAACATCAATGAATTTGCATAAAGCGTCGCGTAGATACACGGAGTTGAGGAGGGAAGACAAGCCGAGGACACTTTTATCCGATGTTGCGAGGCTGCCGGAAGACGCTGTTGAAGAGACACTTCCGCCTTACGAGTGCTTCCCGCTCGGCGGCTTTCAGCTTCAATCTCGAGCCGATCGAGCGCCGATCAGATTAGATCGATGCGGAACGCGAATCTGGAGAAGCATGAGAACGAGACAATCTGTTAGTAAAATAAATGTCGATTGCATTCACAGTTTGCGCGAAAATAATCCTCCACTTCGTTACATCTTTGCGCGACTAAAGTTTCAGTTGTGACGTCAGACGCGAGAAATAGACACGTGGAAAATTCTTAGATGCCATTTTTTCATGAAAAGATATTTCGATGAGACACTATTTTAGGTGGCTTTTCCTTTGACAGTCGATGAACAACCGTCAAATAATCGTGGTATCAGATTTTGTCACATCCGGAAGGACTGGGCCTAATATTTTACTATCATTTTACAGCTGTTGATTGATTATAAAGGGAAAAGGATAGTTTTCAAGGTATTTATTTTAAGAGCGCGCTAAAGCCATCTAAAGTGCAGTTTCATCGAAATATCTTTTTTAATTTCGAAATAACATCAAAGTATTTTTAATATGTATTTTCTCGCCTCTGACATTACAATTGTAACATGGTCGGCTAGAACAGAGCTAGAAGGCTTAAATAACAATATCACTTATCTTATAACGCGAATGCGTGATATTTTCATCAGACAAGGGCATTTCGAAGGAGAGGAAAAGTACCGAGGAGAACCGAAAGTGGGAAATGGCCGGGTGTGTGGCCTTGCGTTGCGCGAGATGAACTAAAGGGACGAGAGAAAGAAGGGCGAAGGAAGAGGCGAAGGGACTTTTTCCCTTGCGACCCGCGACCCGACGACGACGAAGTGGAGTCTCTTCTGCGCCAGGAACAGAGAAGAGATTTCGCGAATCGCAAAGAACTGGGCCACGTTCGCGCGCGAGTGCGATGCGCGGATCCCAAACGGGAATTGTTGGTGGATCGCGCGGTCGGCGAACGTCCTGGCTTGGTGGACGGCGATTACGTCATCGTAGAGTTCGAGGGACGCGACAGGCGGGTCTACGCCAACGTGGTTCTTCGCGGGTTAAAGGGCATGCATCTACCGGAACTGGGTCCGCTGCGAGAGCGCAGGAACACTTGGAAGTTTTGCCTCTATCAAGCGGTGGTGGCGTTATGTGCCAGAACTCAGCTAAGGTAATTTTAGCCTTCATTTTGTTTATTTGATTTTGGAAATATCTTTCGTCGAGGATACGAGAGTTGGAATCTTACGTTATTGGCGTTAGGGCTTCTACCGATACCGTGTTATCGATGTTGTATCTTATTCTATTGTTCGAAAGGGTTATATTCCCGTTTATTCATTAATAAATAAAAAAAAAATGAATAAATTTAGTCAGATTTGTCATCGCTTCGTCTGGTTCTTTGTGTACCTAAGATACAAGTACGCGTGGAGCGCCAATATCGATTACATGTACGACCTCGCCTGGACACTTTACACTCACATCGGCACGATTAACGTGAAGAGGAAGCAGCGTCTGGACGACGTCGTGGTGTACAACTACAAGTACGATATCGAGATAGAGCTGATTCAGGAGATGAGGGATATACCGGTGATACGGAACGTCGATTTCGACTACGAGGAGCGCGATCTAAGAAGACAGATCGCGTTACGCAGAAAGGATCCCCTGGAGGTCAGGGTGGAGCTCGGCTGTCGGAAGATGACGAATCTGGAATACGCACCTGTGCACGAGGAGACACGCGGGATCGAGGAGTGGTTCGACAAGTTGGCCGCGCGATATCGCGACTGCATCTTCCGCACCAGCAGATTCTCGCTGGCCTTCTGGCAAGACGGCCTCTTCTGGTACCTCTACAACCCTTATCGATGCGACGAGTTCGGCTGCTGGGACGACGACGGTCGCGCCTGCATCGTCAAATTTTGCTCCAAGGACTCGCTACGGAGGCACCTGATGATCCTCCTGTTGCGAGCCTACGCCTACCCCAAGATTCCGAAATCGAATCCAGATCGATCGGACACGAGCGACGAGGTCTCTTTCGACGTTCAGATCTTCCACGTCACCTTCCACCGCTGTCAGCTGCAGAATCTCGAGCTGCTGCAACGCGGCGCTCCTGTAAAAGAGCGTCCGACGGATCCTCCTCTCGAGATTGAAGAGGCGACCGATCTAGAGGAAGACGAAGAGGACGATCCTAAAGTCCCGAGGGAGAGAGTCGCGTGGTTGAAGCGTCGACGGGTCATTTGGGGCAGATGCGCGCCCCAATCGAGACGAAAGAACCGGGCCAAGGTCACCTTGAGCGGTGGCAAGGCGGCGAGATGGCATCAGTTCTACGTGGAGGAACCCAACAAGCTCTTCTCCCTGTGGGGCGAGATTCATATAACCGACCGTACGTTCGACGAGGCGAATCGGGGCATGCAGACATACGCTTGTTACGTGGTTTGTGCCGGAATGACCAGGATTATGGCGCCGGAATATTGGACCCCGAAGATCCTTGACGCGATCGTCGTCTGCGGGGACCGCTTTTATTCTCGCAGCAAGCGAGAGGCCGAACTTAGGTCCACCATGAGCGAGTACGCTCACGTGGGCTGCTGGAGCAGATACCTGTGCGATCGCTTCGAGATCGGCGGGATCCTGTTCGAGGCCAGGATGCTGCCGGCCATTTGCGGTCAATTGTACGCGAGATCGCGCGAGTGTCTACGAGAAACCGTGGAGCGACTGTTCGCCGAGCATCACTTTGGTATCCTGACGTGCGAGAGCGCCTGTCTCGGGCTCTTCAAGTTCTGCGGCGCGTATTACATGTGTGACGTCAACTCGTTCGGGCCGCCGCTTTTTCCGTACGGAAGCGGTGCCGCCTATCTTATGAGGGCCACGTGTCTCGGAGAATTCGTGATGGTGCTCGTGTTGACCATCGCCTCGCCCGAACGCAGCCGATTCACCCTAAATCCCGTGGAGATCCTCAGAATCGTCGAGATCGGTCCAGCTTACGAGTCTCGCGCGAGGATGGGTGAGAGAAGAAATCGCTTTGGGAGATTCGACGAACGGAGGAAGGGAAGAAATAAAAAGTAGAGTGCAGACAAGAGCTGAAATGATCATACATATGTAGAGTAATAATTAAAAATCTGATCGAAAACTGGGACCGCAAAATGAAAACGTGAAATCAAAAATTGAGGGAAAACTCTTTCTTTTTTTTTTTTTTTTTAATATATATTTTGGCATATTTTAAAAATAATTTCTTGGTTACTTTGATCGATTCTAAATTCTTATTCGTTATATACGGAGAACCGTCGAGCGGAATTTTCGACGCAACCATTTTGAAATTCCTAAATTCCGGGATCGACGGGTTTTAATATTTATGCGTGAAGGAATCGAAGCTACGTGTAAACGTTTATATAAACGAGAATGTATTTTCCACAACAGCGACGCGATTTCAATAAGAAAACATTGTTGTAAAATCGTGAGTCACACGATAGCGCACGATAGTATCGCGGAATTTAAATTTTTCGCGATCTAAATGAACACCTCGCTGAGAATCTCTAATAAAAGTGACGCTGTGAGAGAAAACTAAAAAAAAAAAAAAAAATATACTTTTCAGATAAGAGACCTCTTTCGGAGAGGATCAATGAAAATCAATTATTAAATTCAAATTAATAAAGTAAAATAAATCCTCAACTTAATTTAATTTGATTTAATTAAGTTAAATTTATTTTACTTTCATTAATTGATATATGATTTGAGTTAAACCAAGAAATAAAGGTACATTTAAATCGCAAGGCAGCAATTAAATATTCGCGCGGGAGATGAAAAAGGAGGCATTGCGCGAAATTGACTTTGCAAATTAATTCTTTTAAATGATTTCATCATTTATAAAGTAAAATCGTTAAAATCCGTTTGGCTCTTATACTACAGCCCGTGATGAAATTTAAATTTATATTAAAAATTGTTAAAATATTCAGAATCGAGGTAGAAGGAAACATATACGGCGGATATGATTAATTTGCAAAACTTTCGAATAGTCGACTAGGATATACATACATATATGTATATATGTAAGGGTAGTATATACAAAATATATTCCTGCGTATCCCGGAATTGCCATTAATGTAACGTCATTATATATGGCAAAACTTACTTTTTTAAATAAAAGAGAGAGAGAGAGAGAAAGAGAGAGAATGTACCTTTTGCAGAGAGATGCGTCCGCGTGATGCAATGAGATGAAACGTCACTCTTCTTGCTCCGACGCAATAATTTATTTCGGTATCGTACACATCCATCGTTACTCATATTTACAGTGATATTTACAGCGCAATTACGTATATACATGCCGCCCCGGTCGTTGCTGAGAAATAAGGGCGCGGAAGTCGCCCCGGGACCTCCTGGTGTCGCGACACGCGAAATCGGCGCCTCGCCTAGTCTCGTAGTCGTCGCACTACGCGACCTCGAGATCGGAGCTGTCCGTGTCTTGCTCGAGCTTCTGCTGCTGCTGCCTGCTCAGGCTCAAACGATCGCCCACCATCACCGTCGCCGCGGCACCGCCGTCGTCGGCGCGCTGACGCTGCTCCAGCTGCAGCTTCCGCAGACGGTCCTGCTCCTCCCGTTTCTGCTTCCGCCACTTGGCCCGACGGTTCTTGAACCACACCTGAAACGAGCACGAGTTTCGACCGGGCGTGTTTAAATTGGGCAAAATTAACCCTTTATTCGCGCTAACGCAAAGTTAAACAATTCTGCGTGTAAAAAATATATCATTTTGTATGTTTTTCCATTTTATATATGCTACTTTTTACATTAATGTGAAACTGAACACTGACAGCTTGCATTAATAATGGATAAGAAAATCGTGTTGCTTGTGGAAGCGATGTGCAATAAAGGATTAATTTTTTTTATTCGCATAAGTGAATAATTCATGCAGAAATAAATAAATTATAGTACTCAAAAAGAAAGGTATACATACATGATATAAATAAATGACAAAGTATATATAATTACATGTTTTTCCAAAGTAAAGACGTTTTGAAACATCATTCACAATTACGGAATTAAAACGATTACATTTTTCAGGAAAAGTCGACAGAGACGACGGAGGTCAAATCTCCGGTGGGTGTAGAATTTTTTTAAAAGTCGTGATTATATATATGTATATATATGCAAGATACATGACACGCGCATACATGCATCAACGCGTACGCGAGAAAGAGATATTTATCTAATGAAGTAAGGAAAGACGCGCACATCAAATGAATTCCCGTCGCACTCGCATTCGTTCCTCACGCCTGTCTGAATCAATTCGAATGAAAACCGACAATCAATATTCCACCCCTACTCGCTCGCTCGTTTTGCTGCATTAGCTATTGTAATAGTCCGACCCTCGTTCACTTTAAAGAGTTCCTCGCGAACCGAGGATCTCGTAAACTCGTCACGGGAAATCGAATCCTCGAGAAATGTCCCAGCACTTGCCGACAGCAATTTTAATAATGATATCAATATTCCGAGATGTCGCATACTAATTAAATTCCAATCACCCGTCCATCTGTGTTTATACGTCGATCCGTTTCCGAATAAAATGCAATAGGGGCTGTAGTGTCTTCGCAAGACGTTGTTTTTTTCCAAGTCTCTATCCTCGGATCCAACATCGGAGTCGGAACACGATCTTGGAAGTACACAAAACAGTGTGCCTTAGGTTTTTCCTGACCCGTTCCTAGTTTTTTCTTTGTCCTCTTCCTCCGAGTTTCTACCACCGCGAACGCGCAGCACAAGAGTCGCTATTCTACTAATTCTGTGCAAACACCGTGAGTCTCTCGCTCCGAGAATCCCCGGTACCAGAACGCAGGTATATATGTTGTTCCAGTCTTTAAACACTCTCGAGACTCGGGGGACCTTCTCTTCTTTGGTAAAGCCGACGTGACGCGGGTGGTCCCACGCGCGAGTGTGTCGATGATTCTCTCACGTAGAGTCCGTGATTACTCGACAGAATCGTCAGGTGTCGACGAGCTATTTTACGACAGCTCGCAATCCCGTATTTCAAAGGATTGAGGAAGGTATACCAAATTGGGAAACTTTTGTGCCACAAAACCAATCATTATGCAACTTGACACAAACATAGTACGAGGTAAAATACAGACATAGTATGAAGAAAAATAACAAATCGAATGGTTAAATGGATATCGACAATGACGAGGAAGACAGAAATGGATGAAACCCTTCCATTCATGTAGCCAGCAAAGTTAGTTGCAGTGTTATTTGTAATGATCGAATCATTCACGAATAACGTTATCCTATTGCTAAAATAAGATTGGATGATGGTAAACCGCATTTTCTGCGTTTGATCAGGATCCAGTCATTTCGATTTTAATTAGATTATTTCTTCATATTTGACCTTAAACCATGTCTGTGTGAAGTTTAGTCACGATTGGTTTTGTACCACAAAATTTTCCTCATTTGATACACTCCTTTTTAAATCGACGGATTGATTCTGACTTATTTCGAAATAATTATGCGCCGAGATCGATCAGATATTTCGGATATTGATTTTAATTTATTTTAACATCGATTCGCAAACGAGTTAAATTGAAAGAGAAGTGAATCCCAAAGCGTTATCTGAGCGTCCCGAGCGGAACGAATGTTGAAACGTATTAAAAAAAAAAAGGACCCTGCTTTTTTTAACCACTCTGCGCGTAATATAAAAATCACAGAGATTACAATATGACGCCCCTTATCACGGCAGATTGAGAAGCGAGGTCGTTAATTACTGAAAAAATAACACTCAATCGGCGACACAATGAACCGCGCGATTTTTATTGAAAGGCAAATTTATACGAAATTAAACGCGCGTTTAAAACACGCTCTCTCTCTCTCTCTCTCTCTCTCTCTCTCTCTCTACCCCCTGGTGGAAAGTACACCACACTTTATAGAGATTATAAATTGCACGCGCTATCCGACACACACGCATACACGCGTGCACTCACTCGTTGGCAGCAAAAGTGAGCGATCGCATGCATGTATATATAATTGAAGTAAACACATTATCGCTAAAGCTTTTAATCTAGCATGCAACTTGTTAGCTCAAGTCGACCGAGTGCCCCGATAAATACCCGCCGCGGTAAATTTTAATGGCCGCGTTAAATATTATGGGCTTTTATGCATTAGGACGACAAACACCGACCGTTCCATCCCACTCACCGGAGGAACGAACGACGGCCGGCGCGCGAGAGCGCGTAGAGTTTGCCGACATTACATTACAAATTGTGCGTGCGGGACCCATCCGGGAACGGTCAATGTTTGTCAATCCGAAATCCAATATTCCGTTCACGGCTCGAGAAAGTAATTTGTCATCCGGTGGCGGCTTAAGCAGACACCGGCTGCTGCACGACGGTGTCTCGGCGACGCGATGCTGAGAGAAAAACGGTAGTCGGTTTTCTTGTTTTCGGAAGGTCGAGAAATATTGTCTCGATACACTTCTCCCTCGTTCTTCTTTTCGCTATACTAATATTTTCGTTTTTTAGAATTCATTTAATTTAACGATTCATTTTACTTCGGAGCGTGTGACAAAAATGCTAAAAGAGTATATCTCAATTAGATTTTATAGTGATTGAATAATGGGATTTTTTATTTGAATCTACATTTATTTTTAGTTAAAATTAACAAAAATAAAATTTAATTCGTTTAACTACCCGTCAGCAATCTGGATTTTAAAGCACAAGCAAATTTCCATTTTTTTCACAAATTGCTGTTCAAATTTCGCTTTATGTAGATAATTGAATTTAATATTTATTCTTCAAATTTATTGGATATTGTAATAGAAATATTAATAAATATAATCTAGAATTTTTTAAAGGATTTTTCAATATCTAGAACATAAAAATAATAAGGGGTGAACTTAAAGATCCAGTTTGCTGACGAAGAATTAATAGCAAATTCTGAAAGTAAAAAAAGAACAGAGGAGAAGAGGAAGATTGTTAGAAGACGTAAGACGTGAGAAAAATGGTTGAGCTATTGTTGACCGATTTTCATTTTTTTTTTCCAAACTACAGTCCAAATTTCGCTTTATATAGACAATTGAATTCAATATTTGTCTTTCAAATGTACTGGATATTGTAATAGAGATATTAATAAATAATCTAGAATATTTTGGAGAATTTTCTGATTGTCTATAGAACATAAAAATAATAGGGGGTGAACTTAAAGATCCAGTTTGCTGACAAAGAATTAATAGCAAATTCTAAAAGTGAAGAACAGAGGAGAAGAGGAAGATTGTTAGAAGACGCCGTAAGACGTGAGAAAAATTGTTGACTCATTGTTGAGCAATTTCTATTTGTTCCAAATTGCTGCTCAAATTTCACTTTATATAGATAATTGGGTTTAATATTCGCCCTCAAAATCTCTATTGGACATTACAAGAGATATTAATAAATAATCTACACTTTTTTCAAGAATCATTCAATATCTGGAACATAAAAATAATAAGGGGGTGAACTTAAAGATCCAGTTTGCTGACGAAGAATTAACAGCAAATTCTGAAAGTGAAGAAAGAACAGAGAAGAAGACGGAAGAAAAATTGTCGACCCACCTCGATTCTCTCCTCCTTGAGGTCGACCTGGAGGGCCAGTTGCTCGCGCAGGAGCACATCGGGATAATGCGTCTTGTCGAAGGTGGCCTCCAATTGTTCCAGCTGTTCCTCCGTGAATATCGTTCGGTGGCGGCGTTTTCGCTTCGCCATCGGGCCCATTCCCGGATTATTCGGATTTATCTGATAAGGATGGCCGGCGTGATAGAAGGCCGGCTGTCCGTGAAGAGAAACGCCGGCGGCGGCCATCGCCGCGACGTATCCTCCGGGATACAAACCGGGATATGCCGCGGCTGGAATCCAAAAAGAGAAAGAGGGAAATTAAAAAAAGAAAAAATACGATAATGAAATTTAACCCGCGCGTTCTCTGTCTTTGAAAACTTCTCATTACAAATCCTCATTATCAAATCGTAATCCACTGCTGCGCATGCGACGCCATGAATGATAAAGATTATCCGCGAGCCGCGCAACGCAACATTTGAACTTTGCGTCGCATTAAAAATTCAAACGTCCATTCTCGTTCGCGATTATAACATTAGGGGAGACTGGGATCGATTGTAAACGGTGGGGATAACAATCGCGATAATTCGGGCTACAAATTGATGCAGCGAGACAAAAGGATTACATCCTTCGCTCTATTCGCGTACGAACGAATTTTTTTTTTTTTTTTTCGAACTAAAAATGCAAAGAAATTACGCGACAGACAGATTCGAACACTCGTGCCCCTTGTCGCGATATTCCAATTCGTCGTCATCCCCCAACCCCATTCACCCGTGTTTAGGATAAAAAGGTCGCCAGGAGCGGCCGCCCCACGTCCCGGAGGACGTTTTACTTTAAAATCTCGAAGAAAGCTGCTTAAACGCGACGTTGCGTATGAAAATGTGGGGACGGTAAAAATTTCTGCTTTTACTTGCAGCGCGTTTTCGCTCGCTCTCTCTTTCTCTTTCGCATCTGCATGCTTTCTTTTCACGCTCTTCCGCAGCGGGATTGCACAAGGAGCTAGATCGTTCATGCATGATCGAAACGGATTGCGGATTTCATCTCGCGTATCCCCAATGCGAGAAAGAGAGAGAGAAAGAGAGAGCTGGGAATTTTCCTTGAGGGAAAAATACTTAAAACCCCCGCGGGCATATAAAGAAAGGTTTCGCACCGAGTCTCTTAGGATTTCACGTAGGGTCTTCCATCTTTGCAATGTAAATTGTTACAAACGTCTCCCTTACGTCGGACAAGCACGTACATTTGACAACACCTACAACAAATTCATAGAACCCGAACAAGGAGATTCGATGTCGTAAAAACGATGTAAATGATTCACAACTCGTGAAGAGCAAACATTTCAAGATTATTTGTTGCCTGATTTTGAATGTCATTTAAAGATGAAGATGAATATATATGATAAGCGAGATTAATTATGGCAAAATTAATTCAAGTGTAAAATAACAATCTCGCATTATTAGTTGAAATTGTCAAAATAAAATTGTGCCTTTTTTGACAACTCTAATCATTTTTCAGATTCAAAGTTAAATTATATCGATTTACGTTAGAAGAGCGGTTCGCCAATTTATTTACGAAATACATAAAAATAAAAATGTTCCATAAACACTTACACGTGGCCGACATTCGAAAAGAAGTCTTTTGTGAGTGAAGAAGAATATATTATTACTTTCCCAAGTTTGAACACGAGACTCGATTGAACGAACGGGAATCTACAATCGCCGCAACTTTGATCGAATAAAGTAGAAACGCGTTAAGAAGCTTACGCGTGGGGTTTACTCCGACAAATGACGTTAATCATAATTTCACGCTCAAGTGGAAGAAGAAAGGAAAAAACTCGGGCGCGACACGCGAAAAGTCTCGAGGGACACGTCTTGTGAAAGCCGCCTAAAAGAAGTCTAAAGGATTAGCAGTGGGTCTCTTAAGCGGTCTTCGCGGCCTCTTTGGACTCTCGGGACACCTTCTCGAAAGGAGTCACAAGAGGGGCGGTAGAAAGGAAGCTAAATTACTACCCATACCGAGAAAATCCGCCGAGGTGAACGCCAAGTGATGCAGCTGCTGCTGCAGGGGATGGATCGTCCGGCTGGCGGCGGACTCGATCGTCTCCGGGGTCTGGATCGCGGACGCGGCGACGGAAGTGGTGGTCGTGGGCGCGATGACGTTGCCGATCGGTCTGGGCGCCAGGATGCTGTCGATGGTGAAGAGCGACGTGGGGGACGAGAGGGTGGAGGCGGAGGAACCACCCGGTCGCGAGGGCACCGAGGACTCGCGAGGGTTCCGCGGACTCCTGGCGTCGCTCGTCTCGCTCCCGTTGTTGCGCCTCGTCGTCGCGACGATGTGATTCTGACCGCCCGCCTCGGGCGAGTAGCTGTATAGGTAGCTATTGTGGTGGCCGTAGCCGGATATACCGGGACCATCGTGGAGCGGACTCGACGGCTCTGTCATGGGCGAGCGGGATCTCGGCGAGTCGCTCGCATAAGTGCTCTCTACCATGTTACGGGGTTCGCACAGGTCGGATCGCTGTTTATGATTATTGTGTTTATTATTGTGTACGACGCGAGGTTTGGCTTTCCTAGTTTAGATCTGGACCCGGCAACGGGTTACGTCTTCCCTCGCATCGTGAAAGTTCCCAAAGTTCCCGAATTCCCGGTCTATCTCCTTTTCCTAGATAAGGATGAGACGATGCGTTTGCGCGATCCTGACGTCGCGTAAGGACAGAACGAGGCTCCTCCCTCGTGGATGATCGGTCATCGACGTCCCGTCGGCGCTCAACATCAGAGGCGAAGAGTCCCTTAAGGAATAAGGAAGGGTTTCTCGACCGCACTTTTATTCCACTGCCTCCTCGCGGTTAAGCCGTCGCGGCGTGATCCGATCGCGCCTAGCGTCGCGGACACAAAGTGACATCTCCCCGATAAAGGATATCCGTGGACTAGCCATAGCGGTGCCGCGTGGTCCGCGCTTCCTTCCTGCCCTTCCCGGTCCTCGCTCGCGCCACAACCACCGACAAAAGCCACCCCGTGGCCCGGAGCCGCGCCAGCCGCGTCGGTGGCGGATAGAGAGACACCCTCGGCTGCCGCGTCGGGTTGGCGTGCGTGGTCCGCGATCGGGGCGTGGCTCTATCTGGCTCCATCCACTTTTCCACCACCCCATTTCTCCCTTCGAGCGAGAACGAAGTGCCCGTGAGAGTGCGTGAGAGGGCGTGAGAGAAAGAGAACCGAGGACGACGACGACGACGACGACGAGGATCGCGTCGCGACGTTCAGGGGTGGGATGCTGCAACAGACATGCGAGGGAGAGAGAGGCGAGCGACATATTTGCCGATGCATATTACCGGCCGAATCTCTCGCCCTCCCTCGACCCTTCTCTCCAGCCTTAAACACACAATCGAACAGAGGAGCTTATATTTTCAAACCGTCTTAAATTTATACTTTTACTCGAGGAAGCGTTCTTCGGGGGCTTCGTAATTTCTTTACCTTGGAAAAAAAAGGATGCATTTAAGATGGAACGAGAAGCTCTTCAATTTTATTACTTCGGTTATTAACGGTTCCTGTTCACTTGTTGGTATAGATAGTTGCACAATTTGAGAATGATTGTACGGAATTTTGCAGTGTTTTCAGGATGTTGACTTTATGATGACTGTCTCTGCGTCGAAAAAGAAAAAAAAAGAAAACACAATTTTTCCCGCTTATTCCGCAAAACTAATGTGGAAAATGTGAAGCTGCGGATTCGAAATTCAGCGACACCAGTATAGAGCGTCCATACCATATAATTTCACTGATCGTTAATACTCTTCCGATTATTATAATATACAATATATATCTCCCTCTTTACGCGGCTTTTGCTATCACATATTAATAAATGTCGCATTGATTCGTAATCTTAAATAATCGAATCGATTTGTCGATGTTACGGGATCAAACAGCCAACGCAAACACCAATCCGGACGCGATGAACCCCACGCGGAAGCTCAGGCGTCGGTAGATCTGGATTATGGCGGTTGCGCGCGGCCAAAGAGAGACGGAGAGATAGAAGGAGAGAGGGAGAATCCTCCTGACCCCTCCCATCCCCCTCGTGAGAGAACCATATCTACCTACCTAGCGAATCCGCGCGGATCTGTTCAATTATTCAAATCCCGGCCAATGCGTCCGTATTAATAACATAAAACCGTTGTAATGTGCATTGACTGTCGTCCTCTCGCGTTTTTGCCCCCTCGAGAAGAGGCACGATAGGGGAGGGAGACGCAGCATCGGAGATCGAGCGTGAAAAAGCTTTTCTCTCTCTCCCCGGGTTGGGGTTGCTACTTGGTACTTGGACATTATTGTAAGTGCTCTCCCCTACGAGGCCCCACCCCACCCAGTGCGGTCCATTCGGGCGCAGCGAGATCCACGCCGGGCTTAATCCTAATCCGTACGTTAATCGTACGCCCGATCCGGCGAACCGGATCCCACATTCTGCGCGATATCTCTGTGTGTGTGTGTGTGTGTGTGTGCGTATTATATCCCTGGCTATACCTACTACTTATCTATACCTACCGGTTTTAGGCCGTTGTCGGAACCAGAAGACGTTAGTGGCGCGCACGCGAGAGTCTGACAAGAGGGAATCTTGAAGAGGAAGGGAGGAATCCGCCCTCCCTTTCTTCTTCTGCAACTCCGAAATGCTCCATTGTGCTCGCGTACGTCGTGAATTTTATTAGCGACCGAGATCATCGGCGAGAACCGGCCATCGCGCTAATATATCTCTTGATCTGCTGATGGTCTTTTTGCGATTTTCAAAAGAGAGAGAGGGAGAGAGAGAGAGAGAGAGCAAATTGTTGAGAGACGAGAAATGGTAAACGGAATTAAACGGGTTTATTTTGAAATCGGCGCTCGCGTATATTCTTTATTCCGACGAAGCCTCAAAATGTCATGAATTATGAATGAGATATGCTTCCCGGAAAAAGAAAGAGAGAAAAGCGAGAGGTAACCAAGTTAAATAAGTTTACTCTTGTACAGAGAGCGGCGGAAGTCACGCTGTTTTGAATACATAAAATGAGTTTCGATCGAGAGTATACGCGAGCGCGGATATGCATAAACTGTAAAATCAAAATATTGTATCTCGCGATATCGCACGAATTTTTCGATGCAAAGTTTCTCTTTCCCTCTCTCTTTCTCATTTCGTTCGGATCTCACTTCATTCGGATTTCTCACTTACAATCAGAACAGTAGCTTCGGTATAAGAGAAACTAGAACTCCCCAGAAGACTTTGGGTTTGTTTTCTGTTCCTGCACTAATAAACTAGTGCACACTGGTGCAATAAGTTAGAGTGAGACAAAATATACTTGTCTCATTCTAACTTATTGCACCAGAATGCACTAGTTATTCATTAGTGCAGGAACAGAAAACAAATCTTTTATTTCAGCCGCAATGTAGAACAGAAGTATACAAGCAATTCCTTCAAAATCTCGTCCATTAAGCTGTGGAATGGTTTGCCTCGGTCAATCTGTAACGCAGGAACGTTGACCACTTTCAAGGAAAGACTCTATGCGCATTTATTATGCATTCAATGTTAAATAGATCCTAATTATATCTTATGCCTCATTTCTCTGGCATATCCTGAAGCTGAATGTCCTCCAATTACTTAAATTCAGTCCGAGCAGACACTATGAATTGCTACATATAGGAATAATCAAAACTCTATGTGAACTGAACTTTATTTGTAGAAACGAACTCAATAAAACACACAAACACTCATATACATCAACAAGTTATTTGCATCTAATATAGTTAATGTATATTTTTAATTTGTAAGGAAATATCTATATATCTAATTGCGCTTGAAGGGACATGTCCCAGAGCGCTAAATAAATGTAGCTTTCTCTCTCTCTCTCTCTCTCTCTCTTTCTCTCTCGGCGGTTTCTTCGTAAAAGATTACAATTTCCCCGACGATCACGGGGGATGAATCCTCGGCGCTAATACAGCGACAATACAGATGTTTTCGCGTCTAAGCGGCGTGCTAAGTGGATCTCGCCCCTTCGCTCTCTCTCTCTTTCTCTCTCTCCCTATCTCGCTCCCTTCCTAAATAAAGACGAGAGAATGCACTGAGAAAAAGCACCCGCCCGCATCGATATTCTTAAAGGCATACCGCGGGGTGTCGACCTTTAGATCCGATACCTGGTTCTCCCGAGGTTTCTCCAAGCATCTCACAGAACTCACAGAACTCGCAGAACTCGTTAGTGTCGGTTACACTTGACTGCGTGCCTTCCTGCCTTCCTGCGAAGACCGGCCGAATTGATAATTGAAAGAAAGTAGATATTCGTGCATTCGTTATTGAAGTATTCAGGAGCTGGCTTCGCTGTGAATGAGAACCGGGGAACTTTGCAGGACGTCCCTTGTTGATAGGTATCGTGCGGCGGGACGAATAGCGGGACATTGTTGAATTCGCATTGATCGGTGCCCGTTGAGCGATTCTTCCGAAATTTCACGCTCGTTTAACACTTGGACTTTAAAAAAGGCGAGACGAGACAGAAGGAGAAAAAGAGAGAAGGAGACAGCATTTAAATAAGAAGCTTATTATCAGCTGTTAAACGTCAAATTCAAAATTCTCTAATCGCGGAAACATTCGTAACTTAATTTGCGAGTAGCAAAATTCTATACTTTTATAAATTAGATCTTATATAATTGTGAATATTATGCAATTTATTTCTTGTAAAATAGTGTACAAGTTTAAAAATATGAAAATATGTTTAGACGAGAGATAAATGTAACTCGGTATGTTTTTGCCTTGTTAATTCTTTGTTATCAGCTGTTCAGTTTATTACCAGCTGTTAAATTCAAAATTCTCTAGTCGCAGAAACATTTGTAACTTTATTTGTGAGTAGCAAAATTTTATACACTTTTATAAATTAGATCTTATCTAATTATGAATATTATACAATTTATTTTTGTAAAATAGTGTGTAAGTTTAAAAATATTAAAATATGTTTAGACAAGAGGTGAATGTAACACGGAATGTTTTAGCCTTGTTAATTCTTTGTTAGTTTACAGATTAAAGTAAAAATACAGAAGGGATATGGTCTTATGTGGTATAAAAAGATTATACTAATAAATGAGATTATGATATATATATATATATATATATATATATATATATATATATATATACAAAAGAAAGTGTTAATTCTTTGTTATTTTACAGATTAAAGTAAAAATACAGAGAGAATATGATCTTATGTGATATAAAAAGATTATACTAATAAATGAGATTATGTTTTATATATATTTATGTATATAAAAGAGAGAAGTCCCACGAGTCTATACTTTCCGCAAATTATAGTTGCGTGTGAATGTGTTTCGCAAAATTAATATTATCACGCTTCATTGCATCCCTGCGGCTCTTAATGCAAAGCGCAAATATTGTTCCTTCGCCGCGGTATTCCCTCATACTCATATACACTCATGCGCATATTTCAAAGGATGCCGAATTTCAAAGGATGAAAAGGAAGACGAAGGGAGAGAGAAAGAGATAAAAGAGCGTGTCTTAATCTATCCGACCCAAGTCCGTTGCGTTGTTCCATAAGGATTAGCGTAGTCGATTATAGTTCTCCGTAAATATTTGCCTTTTTCTCGGGATCCACACGGGCAGACCGATGTTTTTTCTCCTTTTCCTCCCGGTAAAGGACTCTCGACCATTCATAAAATCGTAACAGCCGAGTATCGAAAATGCGCGGGATATCCCGAGAATAATCATTTAGCAGCTGCGATCTAAGATAATCTAATGTCAAGGTGGTGAAACCTTCGGAATTTAAAAAAGATCCGTGCACACGTATTTTCATAAACGTCCGCAGGATTTTTTCCAGGAGAGGGTACGTATAATAGTAAATTTTTTCCTCAATTTTTTAAATTCAAATGTTTCATATTACATCCAGATTTATTGCTCTTTATTGGTCTGCGTGAACTTAAATATTTTAAATGTTTTGTTATTTTCATTCTTTTATGTATTAAATATACAAATAAATTCCAGTGTTTATTCAAAAGGAGAGTAAAAACTTCATTTTTTACTGA